TTTTGAGAAACAGTGAACTTACATGCGTACTGTAGGTCAGCATGCTACTGTAGCTACCTGACAGTAAAAGAACTCGGAAGCTTCTGTCTCAAGCTTGCACGCCAGGAGTCTACATTGGTTAAGCAATTTGATTTGAGTCGCTTGTGTTCACTCGATTCGCTGGTGTTTCGTTGAGCTGTTAGCTTTGGAAAAAAACAAATCTTTACTCCAACTTATGAGGTCGACTTTCTGCTGACAAGTTCACAAGGCCATTCTTTTCTCCAGAACACACATCAGTGGAAAACGCTTACTTCTGTTCGGTAAAAACGTAGGGGTGCTTGGAGCCCAACATTTGAATGAAATAAACGTTTATTACGATTAGTCAAGACTTCATTTCCTGACCTGCACTGCGATTTACTTGGAGTTCCTGTGTTTCTGTCCATAATCACACTAACAGGCTTGTATTCTTAACACTTGCTGTAACAGCCTCTCCAGAGTAAGTGGTTAGAATAAAGACCTTGCCTTTATTCACTCAATTTATTATCAGAAGTTTTAAACCGCATTCCGTCATCGTAATGCAAGTTATAGTAGATATCCTCATTATTGTTTGATCGAGAGACGAAATTCATAAGGCTGTTTGGCCCACAAAACGAACAGGTATGTGCCGGTACCTTGGGAGATGTTCCACGATACAAGACGGTCTTTTCATTGTAGGTCGATTAATTGTGGGTGAACCAGTTTACTGTCGAACCAGTTCACCGACCTAATAGCGAGACAGCTTATCACCAGCTCGATTCATCGTGGAACAATATACTACCCGGTGATTCAGCACGTAACACAACTGGACTGGTTATAACTTGGTCTACGCATTCTGCTTGAGCCTACCAAAAGCGAGTTACAAATTCCAGTCACCAATTGCGCCATGAATAGAGGTAAAACAGACCTCAATGCAGTAATGCAAGTTAAAATTGTGAAAAGTTGGGCTTCTTTCTAAACACCCTCTTTTATATGCTTATACAACGTCAAGCACTTCACTCTTGAGGGGATTTAAGATGTAAAAATATCCATAGAACTTGATTCTCGGGAGATTTCTTATGAAGAAGTGCACTACACTATGAAATGGAACTTAGTCCAGGAAAAACTGGTTTGCATATCGATTGAACCATGACAAACGATGATACCGTTTTTCACTTTAGTACACGATATTTGATACCGAACTCTCCAGAAGCGTCCGCACACGAAGCGGCGTCCTTGATTTCTATTTAACTTCGTGATCATCATCAGTGGAACGCCGGAAGGTCTCCAAAACCTGGTGTTCAAATAGCTTGTGACGAAAAACTTACCGATCTAGAATACGCAGATGACATCTTACTCATCTTCGAAGAGGAGAAGACGCGGGTTTTCTGGATGAACTAACCAAAGTCATCCCATCCTATGTTATGCACTTTGCCCCACAAAATGTAAGGTCATGCTAGTGGACATGCAGTCACTGAACACGCCACTTACAACACAGGGAGAGGTACTGGAAATTGTGGAGCGTTTTACGTGAGTTGGAAGTCGTATTAGTTGTTGTAGTGTGACAGATTAGGTCAATGCATGAATCTGCAAGGCTCGGGTCGCTTTTCCTAAATTCAGACACCTGTGGCGTCAGGGCGTTGTATCCTGAATATTAATGGATGTGTGTATCAAGCTACAGTGCGGGCTGTTTTGTTGTATAGCTGTGAGATTTGGCCAGGTTTTTCGACAATCGTTTTCTCAGAACCATAGCTCGTGTGGATTGGTGTTCGCGTATCCGTAACGAGGCAATTAGAATGCGAGCTTTGGCTTGTGTAGCGGGTACTTCCACTTAAGAATGTGTCGAGTACTAGAAGCTGCGTTGGATGGAACATGTGTTGCGTATGCCCAGCCGTCTGTTGCCGAAGAGGGCGCTGTTATACATACCCAACTCAGAATGGCGGAAGCAGGGAGGTGGCCAGCCTTTGACCTAGCAGAGGGGTATGAAGGAGATCACGAAACGTTTGGGTGCTGTCGCGGTTAGCCGTCTTCCAAGATGGAAACCGCGTGATCCCCACTGCGCCCGACTGTAGACACTGCAAAATATGGCTGTCAACCTATATCAATGGCGTTCTTTTCGTCAGATTCGATCCAGATTACTGAGTGTCTGGGAGTGTAGGAACCTCGAAATGATTGTAGTAAGCACGCACTTAGTCCCCCCCCGTCCACCTTTATTCCTTTCTTCCCAATAAGGCTTTCAAATAAATCATGGTTGTATGGCAGTCAAAAATCTGCTTTAAACACTGATGTCATCCCACCAATGATGATGGGATGATGAGACGATATGTGAAATGATAGAATGTACATGGTATTGAGAGTCCCTTCGATTAAACCTTATGGAGATGAAAGAGCGTCAGTGCAGAAGCTCGTAGGACACAATGTAGGCAGTGTTTCCTGGAGGCATTAGTCATGCTACTCAACTATGGGATGGGTTATATAATTTAACAGTCAATTTCTATTTTCAACTAACTCATTTTCTTCCTCATGCCTTATCACAACCACCTCCTAGCTGAGTTAATATGGCACAGTCAGATTATGAATATAGGCTAATGAGGGCTTTCGACCATAAAATCCTTGCACGTTTGATGATGCAGGCCGAGTTTGTGCAAAGTTTTATGGATTTTATGATTTGTTGACCACTTGGGTATCATGGCCAGATGTGGACGGCCATGTGCGGCTGAAAAGCTGCGTTCATGTGTATTGAGAAATGAAATCCGCTTGTCGACTATACGGAAATGCAGTGAATGCAAATGATAATACAAGTCATCTCAAATCATTTACGGATAGCATTGCAGGGCAAGGTGCTCTGTTAACGACCTCAGCAACTATCCGTCCCCACAGCAACCGTAAAACGAACGTTTACAATCAGTTAGCGTATCCAATATTCTTCGTTTGTTTGCTTTCCCAAGCTTAGTCTCTCCTTCAAACCGTGTTCATTGGATCCCACTCCTGAACACATCAACATATGCTGCTGACCGCACACAGGGTAACCATTCATTTTCATGGTGGCCCCCGGAACCAACTCCAGAGCGTATTACGGCCCGATAGCTGGTATTTACAGTTGTTAGATGCTAGTCAACCTGAGAAAAGGGCCTAAAATGCAGGGCCTATTTACACCACCAGAATGTCCAAAGATATCAAAGATGTGGAGCTGACCACAAAGTCCATTGACATCTCTAAGCTCTGTATTTTCACCTTGGATACTGGGGTTAATATCGTCACAACATGGCTGCATGCTGTAGACGGTCACGCTGTAAATCTTTGGTGGCGTTTTGTAAGGACGGCCTAAAATTCTGTGAAAATACATTATTAACTTGTCAATCGCGCTCCAGAATTCTTACAGTGGATTGTTTACAACCAAAATTACTACCTAAGTCTCACACTTGGCCACCTGTAGTTGCAATTTTTCCAAGCAATTGGGGGTTTTCCATAGAGGAGTGCGTACATCTGGAGCTTTCAGAAGTGTCTCTAAATTAGGTACAGAAATGTACTGCGATTCGTGCTTTGCCATCGTCATTCTTAGTAGTGCTGCTTTTTGGTGCGCTCTTGTGTCTGTACACAGCCATTACATAAAGACCGATTTTTGTATACACGCTACAAAAGCTTCAGTATGAAACTCGCGGAGTATTCCCGACTCAGTTATACGTAAGTAGTGTGGTCAGATCTAATTTCAAAATCGATCCGATGTCGATGCACTAAACTCAATATAAAATGCAGAACTGGTCTCCCTGTAGTTTTTTTCACTAATACACATAGACGGAAATATCATAGGAAGTAGCGGTAAATTTTCTTCATTTCGGTCAGAAGTGGATCCTCGTATGAGCAATGAGGTCATAATACCGACATATTTGGTCCTAATGGTCAATAAACGGAAGAGGTGGTTCAATCAAAAGTACACAGCCCTTATGAAGATGGCCATATCTACAAAGACCTCAAGAAAGAGGAGCACTCTCGCTGTTTTGTAGCAACTTTTTATCATTTTTACGTTTTTTAAGAGTCCCTTTTTACACAACAACAGTGAACCATTTTGTTGTGTGTATAGGGTGCAGGTAATAAAATCCACACTGTTCTAACTGGATGTGTCATAGAAAGGTAACTAAGTGGTAACTGTATCTCAATCTCCCGATGGCAATTTTCGCCGACGATTGATTTCAATAAATTTCAGATAGACAGTCACTTAAAGAGCTGTTGAACCACTGCGCTTTCACTTCAGAGAGTGGATTTGAGTAAGTGGACTTCCTGAGTCGCCATGTCGTTATTTTCGGCAAATCGTAATTGTATTCCCCTAAGTATAGGTAGAGGAGGCGGACACATGACGATGTTTTGCGACATGCAACAATCCATCGTAATTAAAGGCAGCATTATTGCAAAAGGTCCTTTTGTTTGTGGTGCTCATATCGAAGGACAGTCGAGTTGCCCGAACCTAGAAACAATTGAGGGTCACACAATGAAAGCTTCTGTCAATAGGTTGCGTCCTTGCCCCTGACATTTTGTGTGCCAATAGAATTTGGCTTGCTGCAGCCTCTGAATTTCCGCTTGACCAGTCTTTGATTTTTTTTAACTATGGAGATTGCAGATTATTCTATTTAGCAGCAACCTTACTGTGTTTGAGATACCGTACAATTACATGTTAATCAAGGGAGTTTAAAGGAATCAGGTTCTAGTTCGACTTCGTATGTATTTAAAGAGGATATTTGCTGTTCGGAAGGCCGTCTAAATATCCTTTGGAAATTTGTATTCAGATTATAATGGCTGAATTAATTTGAAACTTAAACGGCCGTATACTTTGTTCGGTGTTACTCCTCTACTTGGTGACCAACCGCTCATCTTCAGAATGAAACGTTCGCAATTTTGTTCACGAATGGGACACAAAGAGCGGGGAGGATGTTGATTGGCCGGAATTTGAGGATAACAATGAGAACGCCTTCGCGTTATCGCACAAGCAACATGTTTTTTTAGAACTAGCACGTAAGGTCCGGAGAGTCGTTCGTAGGGTTTATCAGTCACAACTGATATATGTTCCCCAAGATCCTACTCCAGAAAAATGCGTCCTGAACCGCCAATATCTTACGGCTATACTAGTGGTCCAGTACAACAGCCTTATACTTCGGATGCTCACGCATTAATTCGTGGACCGTATCACATCAACACAGTCATTCCGTCGACAACAAACACGGTGAATGATCGCAGAAATTATTTCACTTCAATGACTACGGAGCTAACTGGAGTACCGTCTGTACCGGTGATCACCAGTGACGCCCATGGACAGATCATTGTGCCCGGACCAGACGGATACCGATACCAACAAGCGGATCCCAATTTCTACGCACTCCCGGTACAATCCAACGACGTCAACATGAGGCCATTCTCAGAAAGTTCCATTTACATGGAAAAGAATCCTAACCAGACATGCGAAGAATCGGTAGAAATGATAAGTAGACAGGAAAGTGAACAGCCAACCACAGAAAAAGTGAGGGAAGACGAGGTAGAAATCTGCTACTCCAAGAAGCTCCATCGTGAGACCTGGGACACGAAGGTTGATTTCCTATTGTCGGTCATTGGTTTTGCAGTGGATTTGGGCAATATATGGAGATTCCCGTATATATGTTTTAGAAATGGTGGAGGTGAGTTGATTAGACTCCCAGAAAGTTGCTCAATCCACACAGATTTATGGGGAGGTGCAACTACTCTAGGCGCATGAAGTAAAGTTGAAGAAATTTTTTTTCTATTTCTATTCGTTTTATTATATCTGACACATTTCAACCCCTCATAAGAGTGTTTCCTCCCATTAGTGAGACTAAGCCACTTATGCATTCGCATGATCAGCTATGAGTTATTTTGAATAGGTTATGTCATATCCCATCAGACGTTGATCATCCTATGTGTTCCTACTCTGTCTCACACCAACACAAGCTATAAATGTGTTTAGTCTACAGCACTTTCCCTTACAAGTTCCCTTCATACGGAACCATTACCACAAATTGTCAGCTCCGCGGGCAGTCCCTCAAGATGTAGAGTACGCGCATCCCTTTTAGCAAAACGGATTAAGGTAATTAGCACTAGCAGGTTTTTTGGCAATGTTTGTCTGCTTTACTTATTACCTTCCTGTGTGCATAACTCGTGTTCGAAGGGTCCACGATACTACACTGCGTTTTCAAGGTGAAAATTGGGTCATCTTCCTTCTATCTATGAAATGTAAGTCTATATTTTTGAGCGAAATGATAGGCCATGTTGCCACTTTTACCATTTCTGCTGTAGTTCAATATTGGGAGAGAGCTAATGGCCAGTTGTGGTATGTTTTTAGACGGTTACGACAACGCGACAATCCATATTGGCACCTCTAACAAAAAACTAGCCGAGATGTCATAATCACATGTTTTGCTGGTACCACAGCATTGACATCTCCACGCATACAGCCACAAATACACTGATTTTGGTTGAAGCTACAAAGGCTATGCTACTGTGTGCTCCACAAGCGTAGTATTGTTATTGCTTCATTCATTGTACCACCAGCTCTTTAATGGGGTCCAATTCTCTTGGATTCTTCGAAGTTGTATAATAAAGCAGGTGTACTTGTGATTTTTCCAGTAACCTGGATCTAGCCTCACTGGTACTTGAAAACACTTGTTTGGGCCTTGCAAAATGCCTCATCATCGAGATTAAATCTTGTTGAGGAAATCGTAGCACATTTTGACATACTGATCATTTACAGTGTTGTAGAATTTCATCGTGACACATCATCGCTCATCGAAAAAGCGATCTCGTTTGACCTACATGGTTGTAACTGTATTCGTGGTCCATTGTAAGGTCTTTCCTGCCATCATGTTGGGGTTAACAAGTTCACCGCCACCAAATAATTTCTTACGATGTAGTGTCTCATCATAAGGGGATGACTGATTAGAACCCATTTCATGCATTCTGCAACGGAGTAACGTGCTTCCACCTTTTGGGTATTCAATCGATTCTTCGGCGTCGTCTGAACTGACTTTTCCACACATCCGATACTTTGCACACCTTTGATTGATACATTCCATCTCAACGTAGATGGCAGACCGGCGCCTGAGCCATTTAGCAGAAATGAATTTTTCCCAGATTGCTATCAACGAGAAAACTGATTTATCTAGAAGGGGAGTTCTGATTTCACAATAGCAACAAGAATAAAGACTGGGAAACGATAAAAGTATGGTGTGCATATTGAATCACCACAAGATCTAGCTTCATCGTCTTCGATCAACATAACATATTTGACATTTTCAACTGAAGATACTGTGCATGTCTTCTAGCTTAGAACAACGGTCAAACTAAACCCGATCCGATCAAAGTTTGTTCCCTGAGGTGACATATATGTTTGAATGTAATACTTATCCATTCAGTGTGACAAGAATCAGTACGTTGAAATTGATTACACCGGTGAATTTGCTTGTCTTGTTTGCTTTTCAGTAGTAGGTCAACTATGTGGAGTTCTATAAGTTTCAGGGATTTTTCATCAAGAAATAATTGAAATAAAAAATCTATGCCATCCAGTTTATCTCTCGACCGAAAGCTTTGAATGTGCGCAGTACTATTCGGCACCGCTCATATCACCTTTTTATCTTTTCTCTGACAAGAAAGACACAAAAGCTATCCACTTCCGGTAGAAGGTGGGCAAAGTGCAATGTGTCACATCACCATTTGCAGTTGAAATCAACCGGCAGTGTGTGTGGTTTCCGATAGCATAGCTCACGGACGAACGCAATACCTTGCTCCTATGCCGCCAGGATTTGAAGTCAGTCAGCTGATACCTGAACTTCAGACCTAGTAACCAAAACCCAATTTTTCATTGAGCTGAAAAATCGCATCGGAAATGTTGGTCGTGTGAGTCAGCAGATCTTCACCAGCATTGCAGACTTTTCCCGAAATCATGGTGCACCCTGCAAGTAAATGAGCCAATCCTGCTGCTTTAATATACGACACCAAATCAGCCGGGTATGTGCCCATATTGATGAGTGGATAGCCGACCAAGGAGGCGTATAGTTGGTGAAACATGGGACTCACTTGGTGTCACGTCGATATTTCAATGATGACCTGGCTATAAAAGTTAGCTTATCTTCATTAAGTACTGGACATGGAAAACGTAAAAGTGAAGTAAATACACACTTCATTCCACTCATTTCACATTAGTAAGAGAAATCGGTAATAGCTTGGCTACACCCTTGATGTCTTTCTAGCACTTTATATTTAGTCCCGACTTCTCAATCGACTCCAGGAACGGGCGCTGATGGCAATCCTAACCAAGGATATAACAGCATTTCTGGGCCTGTCTACAGAGTACAAGCGAACGTGCTGAAGTATATTAGAACGAAGAGTTTGGCTACTGCGATAGTCACTACTATAGGGTTCCACAGATTCACAAGAGAACGACTCGTGTATCAACCGGGGCTCATGCTGCCAATACATATATAT